ATCATGGGCTCGAAGATCATGTTGGATAATCATCAGAATTTCGGACTGGGAATGTGAAAACTCGAAAGCTGATGCCACGGTTTGCTTGCCGTTCCCGACCACCAGTCGAAATTATATACAATTCAACACTATTAAGGATTGCAATTTTTAATTAGGACTCAATTTCGGAAGTGGCAACAAGTGTGCTGCCGACCACAACCCTGCACGTCACAACTTGATTAAATGAAACACGCCAGGTGGACCGTACATCACCAAGTTCGGGTACTTCCATGTGGTTTACCGCATGGAGTCACAATGTCTTATCAAAGCCACCGGCGGGTTCCCTTCCCAGTCACCCCCATTAATCTTCAATTTCAGATCGCTTGATGCCCTAACTACTGTGGAACTTTGCCAGAGCAATATAGTAAAGCTGAAGAGACACGGCGAGGAGGCTAAGGTCCCATCAAGCCTCACGATACAGGAGAAGACATTGTTCTTTGTGGGATGACAAACAAACTGAGGCAGAAATTTTTACTGTTCCTGAAATTTGTACTGCGAAGGAACAGTCTGTGATCGGCAAATTTCTGAAGTAACCGGTTTCCGTTGTCCGTGCGTCACGTGTCCAAACCCTGGCAAATACCCAATCGGGCTTCAGAGCGCATAGTCTACCTACCTAGGCGTTCATATCTCCAGCAACCACAACGATATCTGAGCTTAAACCTGCTGGATAAGGGCACCTATAACGTCATGGAAATAATCCCTGGCAGATTCAGGGCTACAGTCAGTTGTGGCGTAAGCAGACAATAAACATGGTGCGGTGAACCTCACCTCCTCTAGATTCTCTCACAGATGTTTCCGAACGAACCGCACAGAAGCGACTATCAACGGGTATCCAATCAGGCAGAGACTCTTCCGCACGTTCGCTCAATACAATACCCAACCTAGCATATCTAGCATATCTAGCTGCAGCGGCCTCTGCATCGCCAGAGGTGCGCAGTCGGAATCTGGCAGAGAGCAACGGGGTAGTCATTTCTAATACAGTACTTGCGTTCTGCGTCCTTGTTTCTGGCAGACAAGATACACCAAATAGAGAGGTAATCCAGCGTACGCGTAATTGCCACTTGTTGACCTGCTTGCTTCAGTGTGCGAATGTTGAAGGTGGCTAAATACACAAGCTTTTGGGGTTTGGAAACAGACTTCGACGTTTTAAAGGTTGTAACGGACGTGAATTCGGACGTGTAGAAGCTGCAGCTAAGTGTGATGCAAGGCGAGCGAAACAATCAGTGCTAAATCTGGGATCTGTGGAAAACGTCGAATTTGCGCGCCCGAGGGTGGAAGCCGGAAACGTGAAAGTGTAAGAAGGGAGGCAGAATAAGGGCGTGTCAGCAGTAGCATACAGCCCTGCTGTATGCAGCGAGTAAGGCAATCCGGCTCATGGCACCACAGGACGGTCGATGTGACATGAACTTATTTATATATGTGCAGTTCATGGTTGTACCACGGGCTGGGTACTGCCAGGGCGCCTACACCTAGAAAAGAGGACGACTAGCGCGCTCCAGTAAAGCCTTTGGCTCAACAGTCCAACCGCGGGGCAACGGTGTTGGGCTGGAAATGCAAGTACATTTCCATTTTTCCGGAACACGTCGCCAAATATGCCCCTACCCGCCACCTGGAGGGCCAGGAGGCTGTGTTCGTCAGACCTCTACCCATGGATCAACCTAGTATGAGAGACTCTGTGGGTGTCATGCGGACAGACCCAGTATAGCTTATTGGGTATCCGAGGTACACAAACCGCCACACCACGGTAAGTTCCAGTGTCTTCGTGACGGTTCGCGACTGAGCTGTCGGTATATGGCTATCTGCGGGTGTGGGTGCACTCCAATCTAAATGAATTTTGCCTGTTGTCGTTCAGGATATGCTGCGTCATTTCTGAGATCCCTGTTTGAAATTTGATTTATGTTCCTGCACAGGTTGACCTTAAGTCCAATTCGTATAGATGGGATGTTAGCGCCATAACTTTGGTAGATATAGTTCCGCAGTGCGTTGATTTACCGGACCACAGCGCATAACCGCTCTACATGTGATGTGAATCCTGACTGTAGTGAGCCTGCACAATCGGAACTGTTCAAATGATTCTCCCCAAGTGCGAGGGAAAAACATTGACATCGTTTGCGCGTCACAATTCCCATACCGATCTGCCTAGCTGCCCGATCGATATATTTGTCCGGAAAACTTGCTGATAAAACATGTATGATGAGTTACCCAATAGGAAACACCGNAGCATAATGAAATATTCTACAAAACACGTTATCAATAGGAAAAACGAAAACAGCTGCAGTATATGTTGGCGATAGGTGTGAAATGATATGCAAATTTGGCGTGCGCAACAATGAATCATAAACCAAGTTCGTCAAACTGAGGCAGCCAGAAGGACAAGCAACTGAATAACTCAGATGAACAATATCACATCGGAGATACATGGTCTAGAAATGAAATGAAATGTTTCAAAAAGTAAAGCAAGATAATGTGAATTAAATCCCTACGAAAAGCCAAAGGTCTCAACAAAATATCACAGACGAATATTCGAGATTTTGTGCATGAATATAGAAAATCTTGCGAACGTGGATGATGAAGGATGCAAATACAATTTACGTGATATGGTGCCGAACTTAACACCAGTTTAAGCAGGCGCAATCGGGCGACGAATGTTGTTTATATAATCAACTTGGATAGCTATTGACTCACCTTGCTCATCTGCTGGTCGTTCAAAATGGAAGAGGAATAGACCATAACTCATGATGTCTGCGCTGGTGGAAACAATGATAAATGAACATCTTGAGAGGTCTATGCATGGATCACAAATATTTATTCGCAGCCGTTCCCATATGATTAGTTTTTCTACGCGGGACTCAATGAATATTTAGCTGAGGGGCTGAAACATCAACAGCTGGCCAAGAGAGCGTGTCCCCACTTTCAATGGCACAATACATTTTCAGGCATGCTCGGTTCATTAGTCTGAAATTCATTCAGACATGAAAATCCAAATTAGCATGCTTCACGATGCAACTTGTGTTCAGTCCAGTCAAACATTTATATGACCGTTGGTTGAATGCCATTTCCAACCTAAGTAAACCGTCCACTTCTGCATTATTAAGTTGACTTGTGCATCCACGACGCACGGTCACGCTTTCCAGTGATTACCGGTACAAAGTAAACCACCATCGCGTTGCGTATGTTGGGAGCACTAGTAGTATTACGACTAGTAGTATTACGCTGCACCATCGCGTTGCGTATGTTGGGAGCACTCGTAGTATTACAACACCAACATAATGCCAATAACATTGTTATACGGGAAGTACCGTTGCAGCCGAAACGGGAAATCTGGGAAGCCAAGGTAGTTGGAACCGACTAGTTGATTTCACATTCGGAGATTGATGATCGATTACTAATATTGATGTGTTGAACCGAAAATGTACAAAAATACACGAACTAAATTGTTCCGCATTTTTCTGGAATACTAGTGCTCAATACGTTAATTGAGTAAATGTTTCGCCTATAAATTTTGGCATCTAGCATCTGAAGACATTTAGGTTGGTACATGCAAACCATCTTTTAGGGTGTTTAATTTCGATTGGATAGCGAATTGTGAAAACGATAAGTCAAAATGTGCGGGTGCTTAAAATGCACCTGGTTTCAACAAAATGGGTCGACGAGCTTCGTCGTGCTGAGTGCTTTGGTGGTGAAACCTTAAGGCGTGAATCCCAGACAGGGTGTGGTAGCTTGCACTAATGCGCCGAATATTTCCAAAAATCCTCAAATCCAGTTCGAACAAAACAGTAGCTTAAGTTGACTGACAAATCAGCAGTAGCATCATGTGCAAAGCCCATGAGGATTTTCAGTTTTGTAGAGATATCTTCGAGGGAAATGGCAGAATCACAGTAAACACCATGGAATTTTGTCAAACACCTGTCTGTAACCATGTTTTCTAAACCCGAAAATTAACTATTGGACAGTGGAGAATGACCTAACTATTATCCCTCTAAATGAATAAAGTTTGAGGTGAACCGCTTTAGAAGGCAATACAAACGTCACCGATTAAATGCACCAATTCTGGTTGCTTGCCTAACGCTATGCTGACATCCAGCATGCCGACGAATTGGCAACCAAGCAGCTGCTGTGATACTGCTAGCCAACTTGCCAAACTGAAAACGTGAATGCACCAACAATGCTCGGTTGATATAATGGAACAATAAAGGATACCGCCGTTTCAGCTTCGTCGACCAAATGGATAAATCTCCATTCGAGACGAGGTTAAGATGAACCTGATGGCACCATAGAGTCACAGGAAACAGTGAGACATTTTCGATTTTTTCTCACTAGAATAACATCGCTGGAAGCGAATCACGAAATCTCATTATTCAATATCAACGTATATTTTGGTGGGGCTAGCACAATAAATAATTTCCTAACGAGTTTGGTGAAAAGCTAAAATTTTGAAAAACGTTAACGTCATCCTAAAGCATATCGCCTGATATGATGAAAGCAGTCACCACTATCCTCAACTACACCTCCGAAATAATGACATTCAGCATCAAACTTATTTCGCGGTAGGCTTAGCGGGACTTTCTGTCGCTTCTCCTAAACAGCTTCCGTTCTAAGGACGGGTAATTCAGAATTTCTAATGACTTTACGTCGGTGGGTTTCGATCATATAATGAGGAGTGCAGGACAGTAAATCGTACTATACTTATTTAGCATTCAATATACTACAGGAACCCCTAACAGTTGTGCATTCCATTCCAACCAATACATATAGAAAATATGTAAAAATGTAAACATGCTCAAAATGCTGTTGGCAAACTTGCTAACCTGCACAAAGAACACCAAGCAACAGAGTTGCTAGGATGCTGTTAAACAGGATTTTCATTGCTGTGTCAGACTTGAGTGCAAGTTGATTTGAATTTTGAGCAAAATTTATACAGTTCCCTACGCCACCCTTGCCACACAGTGTCACGTGCATTCCAGTATGTGCCCCCGCCGATATTAGTTTGCTGCCTTGCACGGTGTATATTGCGCAGCGCACCACAATTTATGCGTGGAGTTATTGTGTTGTATCAGAGCCCCGTAACTGAGCAAGACACTGGCATTCTCGACTATAATTTCCAACTGTTTCAGTGACGCACTAGCAACCTTTATTTGATAATAAACCTCGCAGTAGTGAATCTCTACATAGCTGACAAGGTTTACACAGTCACTTGGGTATTGATGATAAGCTGCAAAACATGTTTGTGAAATATCATATAAGATTGCTGCATTGTCAGCAACTTGTGTTTCTTTTCGAATACGTATTCTAAAACAAGACCAAAAAGTGCCTATTTTCACATCTCAAGCGACTTTCGACGAGTGCTACGCCTTGTAAAAGTTAATCGTGAATTGCTACTCCCAGAAGTAACAGGGAAGTGCGCATCAATGCTCTTTACTAGTATTTTTGACGCTCAAGACATGTGAAGGCTCCTTTGTATTTTGCGTTGCCTAGTTCAAACAAACCAGCAAACTGAATGGTGTCCATACTCTAATTGATTTGGCCTACGTCAGAGATACCACGCTTCAACGGACTGCCGACAAATTGCAGAAATTTATGTCATAATTGGTGGGTTTCCTGAAGTCAGCGCGCTTTGCTGAAGTGAACCTATATTTCACAGTATTAGTCAGCACGCGGACATAAAGTCGTACACACAAATGGACAATCCCGGCAGTCTTGTAATAGGAAATGGTGATGTACGCCCATATGTGAACACATTGACCAGCATAACGCATTCCCTACAATGTTCCTGCAGTTCGTTGATCACATTCATAGATGCGCAAAGCACAGCAAAGGCGCTTCGCCAAATCATTTTATGACTGATAAGACATGTCATTTCATTGTGGGTACACTGGCTTCCGAATGTTGATGGCAACCATCAATGCAAGCATAAAAGTGACCGGAATAAGCAGCACACAATCTCATTTATAACTTATCACGATTAACTGAACTTCCACCTGCGCAAAAAATATATAAACCCTGATCTGGCTAACGACTTCGCCATCTTTTTGAAAGTTTTACTGATGCGCCAGTGACCTGCAGCAAACAAAATATATTTGCGCTTACATTCGCCTTTGTTAATGCAATAGTAGTTATTGTGAATTGATATGACGTATTTGATATATGCCGAACATAAAACTAAAAACTGGTTGGGTAGGGGCCAATCCACTTCTAATTTTTTTAAGCTGCATTTAACCAAGTGTACAGGTTTAAATTTCTTGCCCGGTTTTCCATCAGGTGGTTTCAGACACAAATGCTTATTCATTGTGGCGGGATGTAGAATATATCAAAAGAATGCACTGCTCATTCCTTCCGGCATTCAAGATAATCACCGATTAATCGCTGTTGTGGTAAAGATGCTAGAGACGACACTTCTTGAATGCCAATGTGAAACCTATGAACTAAGATGAGCAGCAAAATTTAACACGAGCAAAATTAGGTTTTCGCTGCACACCGGCACAATCCTCTAGCATTTTGGACCACGTCAGGGGATTCATTGTCCGTGGTTGTTTAGATAAATTGGAGCGCGGTGGAAAACAAGGGTGTACGTAAAAGCTTAATTCTTTTAATCAACAGTCAGTAAACGTATTAATTTTTGATCACGGCATATTGATGTTATTGACGAGAACATAAGATGACGAAATAAACCGAAAACTTACTAAAATATGTTGTTTTCCTTTCGAAAACCACCTAACATTAGCACAAGGAGGTAAGTTTATATCATGCGAAATCACACTTTTTTCAGTCAAATTTGAAGGATGAATCCGATCAGTTGATTTCTTAATTTCCATGTTTGCATCCTAAATGGGGAAATGTACATCCGTTTGAACCTGGTTACACGGCACTTTCAGACATCGTGTTGGTTCTGCTGGTCGCCATGTAGCTGAACATCACAAATATGTCGTTGCATGACAACTATTTACGCTAACATGTCTGTGGTTGCTCGGGAAAATGCATATAAATAACGGCGTGCCCAAAATCGTTCAGCGAAATGAGGCCCAGCGTGCTTGTCGTAGTTCTTCACTTTTACTATGTACATTACAACAATTAGGGTTATGAAGCGATATCCAGACCTAATCAAATTAGTCGGTTGAAAAAACCATCCAACATTGTGGCGATCGCGACTATATTTGGTAACCAATTACGTAGGTTTGCACACATTTCAATCCATATTATGCTCGCCTCCATCCGAATAAAGCCTGAAAGAAAGGCCTCACTTTTATTCCTAGTGTGATTCTGAAAACAAGATTCTTAGCCGATCATTCTCTAATCCGTTTAAGCCGCATTTATGAAAGTGCCCGGGATTTATTCACTTGAATTGTCTGGTTTCAGACAAAACATAACTCATTCATCGTTGCGGGCACAGAATATGTTTATTCCTTCCGGCATTCAAGATAATCACCGATTATCGGTCGTTGTGTTGACAGTGCAAGAGACAACGCTTCTTGAATGCCAATTTAAAAACGGCGTCCTCAAATGAGCAGCAAATTTGACACCTGGGTCCATGCTGCACAATAGCAGCGTCCTCAAGCATTACAGACCCTATCAACAGTTTAGCTGGCCAACAAAACTTGGCTTAATTCATATACGACTCCCCTTTCGTTGTCGACATAATCAAGGGTTCTGAATTGTCAATTAATTTCCGATGCAATTCAGTCAGCTCATTGGGCTTGCGCACGCCATATGAAAGAGCCGCCCATCAGACTTGAGAGCGCCAACTATTTTC